TTCATTAGACCACTGAATTTCCCCAAGTTCCAAAGTAGGCACAGTTTCCCCCTCATAACAATAAGGAACACGATGAATCAGACAGTGAATTTTGGAAACTGTCATGGTTAAGGTAAGGTTAGAATTATGGACCACCCCATCTCCTACTCACTCCCCCAGCCTACAGAGTCAGCGGAGACACATGATATCTAAGGCAATATTATCTGTAATACTCACACAAGATATTTTGTTGATGCTTTAGAGAATCAGTCACTTACCTCAGTATCATCTAGAATTTTGAAGTAAAGAATTTTTTTTGGATAAGACACTGGCAACATTTTCTCTCCAGTTATGGAACAATAGCATAGTGAATCCATCTTGTAGTAGATCTTGTAAGGAATGAATATTTATCACATAGTTGGTGACAAGTGGGACATTGCCCCAAGATAATCCCCAACCCCAGAAGGACTTTGGATAAACAATTACTTTTGTTCCAGTGAAATGGCTTGAATGATTTATTTTAAATGAGAAAGATAATGAACTGACTATAATGTGGCCAGTTACAATATAACATATGTCTCCTTCATTGGGAGATCTTTGATTAAAAAACAGTATCAAAAACAAAAATCCTTAAATTATACCAACAAAGCAAAAGATTTATCCTGTATATTCTATGATGTCTATCAGATACTTAAAAACACCTTAGAGCATTTAGTTACTTAATGGAATTCTAAATTACAAGCTCAATGCTATTAAGAAGAATCCCAGGGACCCTAATTTTTGTTGTTTCTCAATTATCTGAGAGACTGCAAAGAAATATGTCTTGAATGGTAAGATATAAGAATGAGAGTTGTGACAAAAATAAAACCACCTGGATTTGAATGTTAGTTTTGTCACTTCACAACTGTGAGACATTGAGCTACTTATTTAACCTTACTTTTATTAATTGGTAAATTGTGTATAATAATTGCCCCCTTTATCAGATTCTTGTGAGGAGTGAGATAACACATGTAAATACTTAGCACCTGATTTTATTCATTTAATAGCTACTAGCTTTCTTTTGCAATTATACAATTATAGCAATAAAATATATATTTACCTCACTTAAATAAAATAGAAAATCATTTACACGTAGGATTTGCTCATGAACACAGTAAATAAATATTTAACAGTCAAAAATAAATCAATGCAATTCACTATAATATCATTCTAAAAAAGAACATAATCATATCATATGTTCATATCAAGAACATAATCAGAAACAATGATTTAATATAATTCAACATTTAGTCATAACAAAATACTTTAGCAAATTAAAAACAGAATATCACTTCTGAACTTGATAAAGGGAATATACAAAAACCTATAACTAATATAATATTTAATGATAAAATGGATGAATGTTTTCCTTCAATACAGTAAACAAGCTAAAGATATGTGTTCCCTCACCACTTCCATTCTACATGGTATTGATGGTTCTACCAGTGCAATAGGCAAAAAAGGAAAAAACAAACTAAGGAAAAAGTAAATAAAGTTTGGAAAGGAGAAAAATAACACATTAATTTCAAAATTTAAATATAACAAATACCATTTGTAATAGCATCAAAACATGAAACACATAGTGTTAAGTCTAACGAAATATGCATAAGAACTATATACAGCAAAATATTGTAAGCAACAAAATAATGATGAGAGAAATTTAAAAGCTATACAAATGAAGTAATATACTGTGCTCATGGTCTGGAAGACTCATTACTGTTAAGACATCTGCTGTCTCCCAACTGATCTACAAATACAGAGCAATAATGATCAACTCCCAGCAGTCCTTTTGTAGAAATTTATAATCTGAAACTAAATAGTAAATGTAAAGAACTGAAAATAGCCAGAATCTTGGAAAACACATTGTAACAGACACTATCTGATTTCAGATGTATTATGAAGCTACAGTAATTAAGACAGTAATGAAGAATAGCATAAAAAGTTTAGAAATTGATCCAAACCTATATGGTCAAGTAAATTTTACAAAAAATTAAATCTATTAAAAAAGGATAGTTTTGTTCTTGTTGTTTTATAAATGGTAGGAGATTAATTAGACATCAATTTGCAAAGGAAAAAGGAAGAAAAAGAAAAAAAAAGGGAAGAGAGAGCTATTCTCCTATTTACCAAAGATAAATAAAAACCTAAGTCTGCACAAAGAGGGTCTTTGTGCATGATTACTTTAAATTAGAAACAGACCTAAGGGCCATCAACTGATGGTACATCTATAGAATGGACAACTACTTAATAATAAAAGGAAAAAACTGATTAAAGTAACCACCTAGTTGGATCTCAAAACAGTGCAATGAGACAGAAGCCAGATTCACAAAGGCTTCCAGTGTATGATTCCACACATGATTATCCCATTCTGCACAGGGAAAAACAAGGCATAAAACAAAC